CCTGCCCCGAAAGCGCAAGGACCCAAGTTCGATCCCCAGTACAAAAAAAAAAAAAAAAAACCTTTTGGGGCGGAGGTCCGGGATTTAGCTCAGTGATTCCACTGCCTTCCTCACAAGCACAACATCCAGAGTTCGATCCCTGGTACCAAAAAAAAAAAAACTTTGAGGGAGGGGCCGGGGATTTAGCTTAGTGGTGCTTCACCTGCCTCTCAAGCCCAAAGTCCAGAGTGCAATCCCCGGTACCAAAAAAAAAATTAGGGGGGAGCTGAGTGTGATGGCGCATGCCTGTAATCCCAGCACTCATGAGGCAGGAGGATCACCATGAGTTTGAAGCCAACCTGGGCTATGTAGTGAATTCACGGCCAACCTGCACTAACTAGAGGAAGACCCTGTCTCAAAAATAAATAAATAAAAAACTTTTGGATCTTCTTCTTGTTTTACTTTTTCTTTTTGGAATCCTGTATAGAATTTAAAACACTGATAGTAAATTTTTATACATTTTCTGTATTTTTGGGCTTATTCGTTCTACTCCTTTTTATCCCCCCACCCCCCACCCCGCCGTTTGGTACCGGGGATGAACTTGGGTCCTTGAGCTTGCTGGGGTGGGGGGCCGCTGAGCTAAATCCCCAGCCCCTCCCCTTTTTTAATGCAAATAGAAAATCCTAAATTTGCAGTGTTTTTTGTTTTGCTTCGTTTGTTTTTTTGAGACAGGATCTTGCTATGTATATGTAGTTCAAGCTGGCCTTGAGCTCAACTATTACCTCTAACAGTAGTCCTGTCTCAGCAGGAGGGCTGGGATTATAGGTGTGCACCACCACACCAGCTCAGAATTTACTTTTATGTTCAAATGTAGTGAAAATGGAAGTGTTGGAAGCAGCCATGCATGGTGTTTGCACATGTTCTCATCCCTGAGAGAATAACTGATGATATGGCCATGCAACTTGGCTTAGAAGCCTTTTTTTCATTTGAGTGTTCCACACACACACAGATCTTCCCTTTAAAATCAGCCTGGACCTGTATTTATTTAAGGAAGGCTCGGATTTGGGATTAGAAAGTCTTTTGATGGCCCTAAAGGTAATGTTCTCAGGTTATCCTTTCCCTAGCATGTACTGTCATGGTTCCACTTAGCCAAAGTCAAAGACTAGTGTCGGAGGTGATGATCCATGGGCACCTGACTTTCTGGTCGGTGAGTTAAGAGATACAGCACCTCTGGCCTAGCTTCAAGCAGAAGTTGACACAGCCCAAGCTGGCTGCTTTTCTCCTCCTTTGAAAAGTTTAACTCCTCCTTTACTTAGTCTTAATTTCTTTCTATACTCTTGGTAGAAACAACTTTGAAGTCTTAATTCCTTGATGTCTTCTTTACCAGATGATAATGATGTATTGAAATGCAGAGGGAGGGGCTCCCATTCCTGTTAAAGAGATGAAGGATTGAGCTTTTCCTGAGAGTAAAACCCTGGACATGGGGGGAAATTGATTGTTTTTCTGACCTCTTAATCACCTCCTTTTCCAGAGGGCCCAATAGACATAAATATGAGTGAAATCGGAATGGATGACATTCATGAACTGTTCTCCAGAGACCCTGCCATCAAGCTTGGAGGTCACTGGAAGCCTTCTGATTGTGTGCCTCGATGGAAGGTAGGGTGTGGGTCAGCCCCCAAGTCCTGGAAAGCCTGTCTAGGGTTTGCCATCCTTCTGAACCACCCAGATTTGCAAGCTGGAATGTTTTGTAGTTTAAGCTCTACCACTCATTTGATAGAAATGTTTTGGAGAAGTAGGTTCCCCAAGGTCTCATCTGGAGCCACAGAAATTTGCTTCATTGTGATGATGGAGCAAGACCTTATTAACTTCCCAGCAGAAATATTAGCAAAGCCAGGGATTGGTTGTTCTCTAGTGACAAGTGCACAAGTCAGCTCCACGAAGTCAGTACTTCCCACTGGTCTTCATTGGTTACTATGAGGGTAGGGGATAAAAGCAGTTATCTAGCTTGACAATGAGGGTTAGTGTCAGGAGAGGAGCGATAGTGTGGATCAAGCTTACAGCATTAGCTGAAGTCCATTCTTTCAACAAATATTTATCAGAATGCTTGTTCTGTGCTGGCCCTGTTGGATGCTGGCGGTACAACAGTGCCTGGAACAGAGCAGTGTTTCTAGCCCATCACTGTTTGACAGTGAGCCCCTAGGAGCATGTGCAGTACACACTCTGTAGATTTACACTGTATAGATGCTTTCACAGTATTATGTATATAAGTGTATAATGTGCAATCTGCACACAATTAAAAGCTTGTTTCAACTTAATTGTATGTTCACTTATCTACAGTTGTCTTTGAGCATTGGATCACAGTGTGGAAGGTGTCTTCTTAGGGTTGTGGTCTAGAATGGCTTCATTCAAGCCTGCAGTGTGCAAGGCATAGCATACATAAGAGTAAGATACACTTAGTTCCAGGGTGAAGTTGCCAGCATAGGTCTGCGTCAGAGGACACGGAGGACAAGCCAGCCATCGGGTTGCTCAGCCATTTTGCAGGGGTGTCCAGCTCTGGAGCAGAAGTTCAGAGGACTAACTGGGTGGCTTCTTTGGCTGTGACCCACTCTAGGTGGCCATCCTTATCCCCTTCCGGAACCGGCACGAGCACCTCCCGGTCCTGCTCAGACACCTGATCCCCATGCTTCAGCGCCAGCGCCTGCAGTTTGCATTTTATGTGGTTGAGCAAGTGAGTGTTTCTTTTTTTCTTGTTTCTGTTCCTTTGGGGGGGCGGGTACTGGGGATCGAACTCGGATCATTGCACTTGCAAGGCAGGCGGCAGAACCACTGAGCCAAATCCCTGGCTCTTGTTTCTGTTCTGAGGCAGCAGTTTATAGAGTGCTGTAAGCTAATCCATCTTCCTTGTGAAGAGCACGTAAGGCAGAAGAAATCTTAGAGCTGAGTTGCTCTGGGGTGGGAGGGGAGCAGAGATGGCTTTCTGCCGTGGGTGTGAGATGTTGCCCGGCAATTTTGAGTGCAGGATGGAACTTTGTTTGAAAAAAGGGCCTCTGTGTGGGGGTTTTGCTTGTGCCCGCTCTGGGTGATGTCTTTAGGCTCCCACTCGGGAAATTCCCCCTGAGGTAAGGAGGTGCATCCAGTTCTGCACCAGAGCAACACACGGGGGCCTCCTATGCTTGTTAATTAGCCTTGTGGCCTGGGGCACTCAACTTCCCTAAGCCTCAGGATTTGGTTTAGCTTTCGTCGTTGTTTTTTTTTTTTTTTCTCTGGATACCGAGGATCAAACTCAGGACCTTGTACTTGCAAGGTAGGCATGGAGCCTACTGAGCTAACTCCCCGGCCTGGATTAGCTTTAGTCTTACAAGTTTGGGGGTTGAAGTTCCACAAGACAGATTCTGTCCTCCCCCTCTCCCCAGCCCTGTGTGGTATTCTTGTGTGGCCTAGCTCTAGTTCACATGTTTATGTTGCTGGCTTGGCATCTTTCAAGTCTGTGATCCTTGAGCTTGCGATTTTGTTGACAAATGAAGGGTCTGCAAATTACTCTGAATTCCGAGGACCCATTTGCAGTCTTCCCTGCAAGCCACTTCTAAGGCTCATTGCCTGTGCTGCTGTAAGTGGTTGTGGTGTGGCTGCCTCGTACCGGAATGAAGAAAAAGAGCCCAGCTTGCTGTCCTAAAAAGGGAAGGCATCTGGAAATGGGATGAAGTAGTCCAAAGCTCTCTGGAAAGTAACTTTTGTTTTTGTTCTGCTTTACCTTAGCTTCTTGAAGTCATGTTATAAAAAGTCTCCTACTGGGGCCATGTATTTAGCTCAGTGGTTCTGCTGCCTGCCTCGAAAGCGCAAAGTCCCAAGTTCGATCCCCAGTACCAAAAAAAACGTCTCCTGTTAATTAAATATCAGATATTTCTATGTGATTAAATATCATATTCCTTATGTCTGTCCCAAGCTGGGGGACACTTGCTACTGGCAAGGGTGAGTAAATGTTGACATTTAGATCAGATTTGCTGTAACCCATGGGACCAGGTCTCCTCATGAGGTGCCAGATTCTTTGTCAGTAGGCAGGAGTCCCTGCTGTGCTAAGTGACGCTTGTCTTCATCGGTCCTTCAGAATAAAAAGAGCCAAAGCAAACAGCAAAAACCTCCCTTCCTACTAGATTTGGTTTATGAAATATTGCCAGATTGGTTGATATCCTGAAGACAGTGACTGGCATGGGCCAGAGATGTAGCTCAGTGGCACCCCGCCTGCCTGGCAAGCACAAGGTCCTAAGTCCCATCCCTGGTACCGGAAAAAAGAAAAACAGACAGTGACTGCCAAGTATTGGTAATGTGGTGTTAAGAAATCGAAATAAATAGTAATGTTTCCTCTTAGCCACATTTTCCTCTATATCCTGTTCATGGTGGAATTTCTATGCTCAGTGGCCTTGGGAAAGAAGAGCTTGAGTTTGTTACTACTTTGATTTCTAAAGAAATCAAGGCTGGGTGATCATTGATCTCTGAGTCACAGAGTGTGTTAATGAGTAATGCTAGACCTATTCACATGTGCCCAGCAATTTTTTTTTTCACATGGTTCTAATAAGCTCTTCTTTTGATGTGAAACCAACAGAAATTTTGCTTCAAGAATCTGTCTGTCTATAGATTTTTGAGACACAGTCTCACTATGTAGCCCAGGCAATCCTCTTGCCTCTGAGGCTCAAGTATTGAGATTATTGGCGTACACCACCACATCCAGTTTAGAAATCCTTTTAAAAAGACAGTTTTGCTTCTTTTAGGTTGGCACTCAACCCTTTAATCGAGCCATGCTTTTCAATGTTGGTTTTCAAGAAGCAATGAAGGACTTGGATTGGGACTGTCTGATTTTTCATGACGTGGATCACATACCAGAAAGTGATCGCAACTATTATGGATGTGGACAGATGCCCAGGCACTTTGCAACTAAATTGGATAAGTATATGTATCTGTGAGTATTGTTTTTGCTTAAGAGGTTAAATCTACAAAGGTGAGAGATACAAAGATGAAATGCAAATTAGCTGCAGCCCAAATGTCTATCAACTGATAAATGAATAACCAAAATGTGGGCTGGGCCGGGGGTTTGGCTCAGTGATTCCTCCGCCTGGCTTACAGACTCAGGGTCCTGAATTTGATTCCCGGTACCAAAAGAAAAAAAACAAAACAAGGGCCAGGGATTTAGCTCAGTGGTTCCGCCGCCTGCCTGGCAAGCGCAGGGTCCCGAGTTTGATCCCCGGTACCAAAACAATAACAACAACAACAAAAAAAACCAAAATGTAGGATATCTGTACAAGGGAATACTATTTGGCAATACAACGGACAAAAGTGCTTATGAGTGCTACAACATGAATGAACGAACCTTGAAAACATTGGCTAAGAAGCTGGACACAAAGGTCACATAATGTGATCCTATTTAATTGTATAGGAAATGTCCAGTATAGGCAGATCTATGGAGACAGAAAGTAGACTAGTGGCTGCCTAGAGCTGGTGGGGAGGGGGCTGCCACAGTAACTTGTCAGTGGATACAGGGCTTTTGGGGGTGATGAAATGTAATAATAATGATTGTGGTCATGGTTGTACAACTCAGTGGGTATACTAAAAACCATTGAATGACACGCTTTAAATGAGTGAATTGTATGGTATGCCAGGTATATCTAATTAAGCTGTTATTAAAAAAATCAGCTAGGAAAAATTCCCTTCGCTCCTTGGTGGGTACAGGTCAGCACGAGGGGCCAGTCGAGTAGACCATAGGGAGTATCGTTAGGTACTCTAGGGGGCCTGTGTTATAGAAGGAATTGCCCATGCGCAGCACAGGGGCCTAATGCTCTCTCTCCTTTCAGGCTTCCCTATGCTGAGTTCTTTGGGGGAGTGAGTGGCTTGACAGTGGAACAGTTCCGGAAGATCAATGGCTTTCCCAATGCTTTCTGGGGCTGGGGTGGAGAAGATGACGACCTCTGGAACAGGTACTGCCAAACCTCACCCCCAGAGATGCTGCCTGAGGCTGTGCGAGCGGCTATCCAGTAGGGTGTGTGAGCCGTGTCCTGAGCCACGTTTTATGTCAGTTCCGTGTGTGTGTGGTACTGGGATTGAATCCAGGGCCTTGCACATGCTAGGCAAGTACTCTGCCACTTAGCTCTATCCCCTGCTCTCTTTGAGACTGGCTCTCACTAAGGTGCCCAGGCTGCTTTGAAGGTGCAGTCCTACATCAACCCCCTGAATAGCTGGGTGGGATTAGTGTGCATTACCCACACCTGTAATATATCTATGTATGATCAGTATAAAACATTGAGATATTTCACATTCATTTCTTTTTTACTAAGTGTTTGAAATCTGGTGTGTACTTTATATGGCAGCACCTGTCCCTTCTCAGTAGTCGCATTTTAGTGGTTTGTAGCCAGCCATGATTTGTGGCAGCCACCCTGGACAGAGCAGCTTCCCACCATTCTTTGAGTGGATTTTAGAAGCACCTGGGTAGTTTTCTTTTGTGATAGAGATAGGAATATTTGGAGTCAGAGTGCTGACTTCGGCAGCACATATAATATTTGGAGTCAGAAATGATTTTTATATATTTAAAAAATTATACCATGATAACATTAAAAAACACCTGTTACCATTCTCAAAAAAACTTTCAAGTGAAAATAGAAGGAAAAAATGAAAACAAAGCTTTTGTACATATGGAAGGGAGGGCGCTTGAGTGGGGGGAATGGGATAAAATAAAATTTATTTTTTCAAAAACCCTCTACATCGGGCCGGGGATTTAGCTCAGTGGTTTCACTGCCTGCTGTGCAAGCACAAGGACCCGAGTTCAATCCCCAGTACCAAAAAAAACCCATGGGGCTGGGGATTTAGCTCAGTGGTGCCATCGCCTGCCTCGCAAGCACAAGGTCCTGAGTTCGATCCCCGGTACCAAGAAAAAAAAACGCTCTACATCCAACCAAAGCATGTATTTTCTTTTTATTCTCATTTGACATGGAAAAATAAAAACTTAAGAAATATTGTTAAATTGTCATTTTATCAGGAATAATGCTCATTGTAAAATACACATGACCATTAAAATAAAATGCATTGCCTACAATATGAATACTGAGAAATAGCATTAATTACCATTTCAATGAGTTTGTCTTTAAAAAGTGGTAAGCAAACAATAATCTAATGTTAGTTTTTTAACACTATAAAATAGTAGTAGCCTAAATCTCAGGGTTGTGAAAACCAAGAGAGATGACATCTATGCAACATCTTCCTAGGGTATGGTATGTGAAAAGTGCTCAGGAGATGTTACTGCTGTGTATGTCAGTGTTAAATACTCTTTGCAAACAGGGTGTACAATGGCCCCATTTAATTGTTAAGGGATTACTGTAATTTACATTAACAATTCCCTATTGTCTTTCCATTTTCCCACTAGTATAGATTGTAATGTAGTGGATGTTCTTTTGCCTGTTTCTTACTCATGTGTAGGAAAAATCCCTAGAAATGAAATATGGTCAGAATATAATCATTGTTAAGACTTTTTTTGTTGTTACTGGGGATCAAACTCAGGAGGCAGGCGGTGGAACCACTGAGCAAAATTCCCAGCTCCCATTTTTAAGACTCTTAAGCTGTATTATAACAGAGTGGTCCCCCTCCTGCCATCAGTGATACCTAAAATTTATACTTCACTGGCATTGTGTGTACAGTGTCACTAAACCCTCCCCAAACTGCATAGTGGACTGTTAGTGACAGTGCACACGATTTGACCATGGCATTGCCTGAGGCTTGTGTTACACAGTCTGTGTGAACAGTCTGGGTGTTCATGGTGTCATGTTTTCACAGAGAAATAAATGGTAGGGCCAAGAATTTAGCTCAGTGGTTCCGACGCCTCCCTCTCAAGTCTAAGGTCCAGAGTTCGATCCCCGGTACCGAAAAAAAAAGAATGGGAAAAATAAATGGTAACTTATAAGGAACAAATGTCAAAGAATTTAATTCCCACCATATATCTATTTGTTTTCTGGCCTGGATTTTAAAAAGAAAGTATACGGGCTGGGGATTTAGCTCAGTGGTTCCGCCGCCTCCTTGCAAGCACACAGTCCAGAGTTTGATCCCCGGTACCAAAAAAAAAAAGTATATGTTGGTTATTGGTCACAAATTAATAATTTGCTGGTCAACATTCAGAAGATACAAAGGCATATAAACCAAAGGGTCTGAGTCTCATCCCCAGTGCCATCTGTTTTATCCCTTGGAAGTAGCCCTTTAACAAGCTGTGTCTTTCTGTTCCTATCCAGACAACTTGAGACAGGCCTCATCTGCCCTCCTCCAGCAGTATCTGTGTTTTTGATAACAATTACGTGGTATTCCCTTACATAGATACACAGTGATTCATTTTACTCCTCTCGGGCCGGGGATTTAGCTCAGTGGTTTTGCCCCCTGCTGCACAAGCGCAAGGACCCGAGTTCGATCCCTGGTACCAAAAAAAAAGACGTTTTTACTCCTCTCCTTTGGATGGACATCAGATGTTTAGGTTTTTTAATATCCTTTGTTCACATGAACAAATATTTCTTTAGATTAAATTCCTAGTTGTGAGCTACATAGGCAACATATGCACTTTCAAACCTGGATTTTTTTGCCAAAATCCTCCCCCCCAATTCTGACTGATGTTGCGTTACTATGCCTTCTCTCTTTTCTCTTTTTTTTGGGGGGTGTGTGGGGGGTGGGGTGAGTGTTAGGGATCAATATATCACTTTTTTTTTTTTTTGGTACCTGGGATAGAGCTTAGGTCCTTGTACTTGCGCACCAGGCGGCGGAACCACTGAGCTAAATCCCCGGCCCATGTCACGTTTTAAAAGAGGAAAACACAAAACAAAACCCTTGGCCCTGAGGTTTAACGTGGGGCCTCACCCATGCTAGGCAAGCGCTGCACTGCTGCACTGCTGCACTGTGCCCAGCAGGTCCATTTTCTTACACCACCCCTGACACAGCATATAAACTACTACTTTGTGCCCTTTCCCAATCTGATGGATGAAGATAGCGTTGTTTTCCGTGTACTCATCTGGGTGACTGGTCCTTGAGGCTTGGCTCTCTACGCTCCCAGGCAGCTCCCAGCCCACCAGAGGGCCCTGGGTGCGGGGGGCTGTGGCTGCTTTTCTCCAGCACCCTGCACAATTCCACGCACACAGTAGGCATTCCATATTTGTTAGATTTGAGCAAGAGCAGTTGGGTATGTCAAATTAGAGTATAATTGGGAGCCAACCTCCCAAGGAAGGAAGATCTTGCAACAAACAGTACTGTGCCGTGAATGTCCCATCAATAGCATCTGCCTTTCTGTATTAGCTGTATCTTAGACCCAGATCAAGTTGCATTTAAACACAGCTTGGGAAATCTTTTACTAACAGCATTGAAGATAAATAGCCTGCACGCCACCTCTGAATTCTACTTCCCAGTAGTGACTTTTCATGATTTGTGCGGTTGTACATGAAGATCAGAGTCACATCCCATAAAGTGATTCATCTGTGTGGGGAGTCGGGTAGAGGCCTCAAGTCAAGAAAGTGGCATCGTGACCTTGCTGAATTGCTTTGTTGAAGGTTGTGGAAGGGCAGGTGCTATGAACCAGCGAGGGAAGTGTAGCCAGAGGCGTGCAGGTGCACAGGGCTGTGTGCAGCTGGGGCTCCCTTGCTCCCTGCCACAGACACCCCACAGCAAGCCTCATTGCCAGGGGTTTGGTTTTGTTTTTCCTCTTTCATAATCTGATATATTGTAGATTTCTTTTCTAAACTTGTGAACTTACTGGGAGGATAAACAATTTGAATATTTAGATGCAGGAGAAGTTCTCCTGTTTCACCTGGGGATCCCTTGGCCTTAGCACAATCGGTGTTTTGGACCACAATATTCTGTTGAGACTGTCCCAGCAGCATCCCTGGCCTCTGACCACCAGATGCCAATAGAGACGCATACGCACACATACACACACATTGCTGCAACCAAAAATGCCTCCACATATTGTCTTAGCCCCTCATCCAGGTTCAAATTAACCAGCTGGCTAACTATAATACAGTAATTTTTTAAAAGGTAGATGTTTTATTTCCACTCCACATTCAAATTTTTACCTCCATTTGCCAGTTGTTCCATCTGGGCTGTGGCCGTTCCTTTGATCCCAGCTCTGCTGGTTGGACTTTGTCCTCACTTCTGCTCATTTCTACAATTCAGATGTCCCTTAGGGTTGGGGATTTATCTCAGTGGCACCGCGCCTGCCTTATAAGTGCAAGGTCCTCAGTTCGATCCCCAGTACAGAAAACTTCCCAACATAATTTCCAGTTAGGGCTCTTTAAAGTAGAGTGAGGCTGGCGTTAAGAAACCTCGATTCAAATCTTTCTAAGTGTTTGTGGGTTTTCCTTTCAATCCTTTAAGGCACATAGCTAACTCCTTCACCAAAAAAAAGGGTTTTTTAAATGAATTTGCCTCTGTCAGGTGTTTTTTTTTTTGGTACCAGGGATCGAATTCAGGCCCTTGCCCTTGCGCGTCAGGCAGCAAAACCACTGAGCTAAATCCCCGGGGCCCTGTCAGGTGTTTTGAAAGCAGTCAGCTCTATTTTCCTTGTTATATTTTCTTATATCTAATTTAATTGAGTTGCAAAACTGTAGTAGCAAGTACAGGGAGCATACAAGTTTGGGATCAGCTACTGCTGACTTGCATGGCACCTGCCACCGTGGTGAGAGAGCGGCACGTTGGACTGCAGCATGTCCAGAGCCGTGGGACGTGGAGAGACTCCGGTGGGAGCTTCCACTGTGGGGTAAATAAATGGCCCCACTGCGTTAGTAAGATGGAGGTGGGTGAGGAAGCTTCTGCTCTGCTTCATGCCAGGTAAAGGCTGTAGCACGACTCTTAGGCTTTGGTCACTCGGGAAAGGTGGGGGAGGACTGTTTATCTAAAAGCCGGTTCGTTTGGTCTTGCACAGAGTACAGAATGCAGGCTATTCTGTGAGCAGGCCCGAAGGCGACACAGGGAAGTACAAGTCCATTCCTCATCACCACAGAGGAGAGGTCCAGTTTCTTGGAAGGTTGGTACAGTTCACATGTTCCCCTTACAGATGTCCTCTGTACGCTTGCTGCGGGTCCCGGTGTCTTAGCTCACGTTAGAATGATTCCAGTCCTGATCTGACAGGGAGTAACCCACACCGCCTGTGTCTGCTTGAGCTGTGACACTAGGGGTGACATCAGGTCTTTGGCAAGAACTTGGATAGTGAGGTCTTGGAAGTCCCCTGCTCCCTGTGCCCATCCCAAGCACATGGTCGCGTTTGCATCTGAAGGTGCTGCGAGCGTTTGCTCTGCCTGCCACCCTCTCCCGTTACAGGCGGTGTCCTGAGCTTCATCCATGGGGCTGCAGCTGTCGTGTTCCTCCTATTCTTTCATAAACAAACCTCAGATGGGACAGAAAAATGTCTCTCTTCACAAGTGACTTGGGGGGGGGGTGTCTTTTGCAAAGTGTGGGAAGAGTTGTCCTTCAGACAAGCAATTCTAATTGCTAAACCCCGCCTCTGAGAATGGGAAGGCACCGAGCACACACTGCTCTGTCTCCTGCCCTGTTGTAGTCTCACCTCCTTACCCACTTGGTGACCTTGGCCGAGTCCCTTCACACCACTGAGCCTGGGCCTCCTCATTTGTCGGGGCCGGGTGGGGGGGTTAGAGGTGGTAAAGTAGTAAGTGAGGACCCTGGCCGGCAGCAGGAGGTTTTTCTAAGCAAGCAATCGTAAGTCCTGGTTGGGCCTGCCAGCCTGGCCCCATCCTCTCAGGGCTTGGCCCATCCTGCCCTCTTCCGGGAAGAGGTTGGGTCCTCACTTGGCGCCCTCTCTCTGCTTGGCCTTACAGGTACGCCCTGCTGAGGAAGTCCAAGGAGCGGCAGGGGCTGGACGGCCTCAACAACCTGAACTACTTTGCAAACATCACATATGACGCCTTGTATAAGAACATCACTGTCAACTTGACACCCGAGCTGGCTCAGGTGAACGAGTACTGAGAGGAAGAGAAGCACGTGGGCTTTGCCATCAGCACCACAGAAGTAGTCTGGTCCCACAGGAAGGGACTAGCAACAGAGTCTAATGAAGGACCACAGGGTTCAGGGAAAACTGTGACACAGCACACGCACAAACGCCTTCACTGTAGGACCCGCTGGGACCGAGGGGTCATCTCTGGACACCCCTCATCAGCACTGGCTTTTTGTTTCCACAAGACAGACGTCTGTCCTGCTGCTCTCTCCCCATCTCCCCACCCCAGCATCCCATCTTCACCACACTCTCCAGAACCCCACAGGCCGTGAGCCGCCCTGGGCCTGTCATCGGCCGCCACTGTGAGCGCCTTTGGAGCCCAGGGCAGGCCCTGCCCAAGGCAACTGCGCGCCAGGAAGCCGATGGAACTCCGCACCATCCTTTGCATCTCTGGTGTTCTCTTTGGTTTTGTTTTTTTAAAAAATTACCTGCTTTGGGTGGGGATTGAGGGTGGAAGGGAGGGATTTGGGGACGATAAATAGTAAATATATAACAATCACTTCTTGAAGAAGTATAATTGTAAATAAGCCATGTAAAATGCCTTTTTTAAATTTAATTTTATAGCTGGCTCCAATTCAAAGTGAGGATTTATACATTAGATCGCTTATTTGGTTGGCAAACACAGGAACTCAGTTAAATGTAATTGAAGAGGGCTGGGGATTTAGCTCAGTGGTTCCACTGCCTGCTTTGCAATCGCAAGGTCCCGAGTTTGATTCCCGGTACCAAAAAAAAAAAAATGTAATTGAAGAGTATTATCTCCCAAATTGCTGTCACTTTGAAAGGGAGTGGATGCAGAGCATATCCCACAACAGGTGAAACCCCTTCTTCCCCAGAAGCTGACCTCTCCTCCCTCCCTCCCCTCTTCCAGGAGTCTTGCTCCTGCCTCCTGCTGTGGCCAGGCACACCTGCCCCCCAGGCCTTTGCTGGACAGGAGGCCGCTGCGCGGCACACTGCTGTGCCTGCTCACAGCTGACCCCTGGGGTTCCTATGTGCCAGCCAGATCTCTGGACTGCAGTTTTTTGTCCTTTCTCCTGTGGAACTTGGTCCAGTGTCTGAGAGCTGTGCCTAAACGGCCAGCTGGCTTCAGGGATTCCGTTTTCCCTTTTGGTTTCTGGAAAGGTGATTAGTCCACAGTTATTCTGTCTGTGCTACATGGAAGTAAGGAACAACTGCAGTGGGAAGAGTTCAGCCAGGGGGCAGGTGACACTTGCGTGCTGTGGGTCAGCTGGGCCCCAGGTGAGACCAAATCAGAGCTTTGAAATTTAGACTGGCAAAGCTCCACGTGTTTCTGAAGTCAGATTCTAAATTGCATTTGAATTTGTGCCTCTTTATTTTTCCCTGAGCCAAAGCCCTCAGTTTATATTTCTGGCCACTTCTGCAGGATTCTGGAAAATGCCAGATCCCCCCACCCCCTTTCCATAAAACATATTTATATATTGTGATCCGGAGTACTTTCTGAAGAGTACTTCATAGTTTTTTTAATTGCCTTGTTTGCCTTCAACTTCTTAATTTTCATGGTTTACATGGGTGTGTGTAGGGCGTGTGTATCTATGTGTGGGTTGGGTTTTTTCTGCTGCATGTGTTGGTTCCGTGGACATATGATCCCCACACACCGTGGGAGTGATTGGCCAGGCCTTGTTTTTTGTTTGTGTGTTTGTTCTTTTGAAGAACAGAGTGGTATTTAGGAGATACATTGCAACATAACGCTCTTACCAGCGCATATGAGAGAGCAGCTGCCTGCCCTTGACAGTGCTGGTAAGTTGTATCATGCATTTTCAACAAATTGTAAGCATTTCATGCTTTAAAACACCTTCACGAGAGAACGTCACACAGAAGTTTGTTTGGTTTCCTTTGTCTCACAGTGCATATAGCAATACAGACTCCCTCACCCTCACTCCCTGCCACCCCGGCTCTTCCACCCTCGCCCTTCTCTCTCGTCACTGAAGGCTGTGAGCTGCTTTCCATGTGATAGAGCTGTGATGTCACTGGGAAGGACTTTCCAGGACAGACGAGTTCTGGGTTAGTGATGTCGCATGTGCAGCAGTGGCACGAGTTGGTGATCTTGTTGGAAGCCTTGTATTAGTGTCAGTGCCACCAAGTGCTGCTATTTGCTGAAGGCTGACACATGATTTAATCACAAAAATGTTGCTTTGAGGACAAAAGGAAAGGTTTCTTTTCACTGCCTAAAGTAGGGTCACTTACATCCCCTTGCAATGATGCCTAAGTTTAGTAGTATAGAATCTCTTAGTACACACTGTTAATCATGTCCCCACCTATTTGAATATTATAGGGGAAGTGTAAAAGTTATAGGCATACGGCCAGGCACGTGTGTTGTTAATAGCATGAAACTCTCATGTTGAAAAAGAGAAAGAACCACCAAATGTGACCTTGGGCTTAGTTTGGCAGCTGAAATTCTTCGAGGCTACTGACAGGTGGTGACCCCTTAAATCAACCTAGTCTTTGATTGCTATGTGCAAGAAAGGTTCCCCTTTCATACTGGTTTTTTGGGGGAGGTGATATTTCCAATAATACTCATGGTGACATAATAGGGACTCTTTTTGTCAGAGCTCCTCCACCACAGACATTAGTAGCTGAGCAACAGCCACATGTAGTGATTGTATCTGCCCACCATTGATAATGGGATTGGACGAAGCTAGCTTATTTCCATCACTACTTTTTTTGAGCTTGCTCTTATGTTTTAAGAGGTGCCAGGGGTACATTTTTGCACTGAAATCTAAAGATGTTTTAAAAACACTTTTCACAAAAATAGTCCTTTGTCATTACATAATTTACTCATGTGTTTGTACATTTTTGTATGTTAATTTATGAATGATTTTTTCAGTAAAAAATACATATTCAAGAACCAAACCTTGGTGGTTGTCTCTCTTTATCCTTGGCAGTTTGGCTTCATGGGGGCCTTTCCTTCCTTTGAGAGGTTCAGCATCCAGAGCTCCAGTGACCAGCAGCAGGGAGAGCTCTTCAGGGAGATGGCAGCCCCGAACCCCCTGAGCTTCCTGCAGTAAGGAACCACACATCCCCCTCCCCCAGGTACCAGCCAAGTCGAGGGGCAGTGGAGTTTGGTTCCTGAAGGTCCTGAGGTCAGTCCAGAGTCGGCTCTCTGCCCTGTTCTGCCCAGAGATGATAATCACAGCTTCTATTCATTGAATGTTTACCACACAAAATGGTATTTATTCACAGAGTTCAGGTTTGTGTGCAGGTGCTTGGGACTTGATGAGATGCAGAATAACACCGGTTCGGTGGCCTCCTGGCCCACTGCCAGTGCAGGTGTGAGGAGAGAGTGGAGCCGCACCGAGCTCTGGGGAGACCTGTGGTGTGACAGCAGGGGGCAGGGTCCTTGAGGTGGGCGTGGGAGATCCCAGGGAGGTACCCAGCTGCAGGGACAGGAGAGAAATGGCATGGCTTGGGCGAGGAGGGGCAAGACTGCTTTGTTTTGCTTCCCAGTACATCTCACTCGGCTTCATATTGGCTTTACATTATTCATTCCTTGACTGTCAGCCCCACTAAAGTGTCACCCTTAAGAAAGAAGACTTTGTTCCTTATTCCATCCCCCCTTCCAAGAGTTCAACTGGCTAAGACAGACAGCACAACTGGGGCTGCTGGACCTCTCCCCTCCACTCACCTGCATCTGGGCGATGCCCCAGGGCCAACTCCCTGACCTTTTCCTGAGGCAGAGATAAGACTCCTGGAGCCAGATCGTCCTGCAGGACCTGCAGTAACCTTTCTTCACTTGGAGCTCACTGAAGGTTCGGGCATATGGACTGCATCTCACACATCCAGTTGCAACAGTGAATTATGGGAAAGGACAATGCGCAATAGAGGACGTGGACGTGGACATGACTCAGCACCCTCTCAATCACATTATCAGTCATGCTCTGGAAGACCCAATGGATGGTGCCCTAGACTTGGCTCAACATTTTAAATTCTTACACCAGCACCCTCAAGCTGGGACAATTTTTCTTTCTCCTAGCACAAGCCCATTCGCCCCAAGCATACCATCACCTAATTAAACTTCATTAAACTGCTGCTTTTTCCTTTCCACTGTGTGCCACATCCAATTCTTTGTCCCACTCAAGAACCTAGATACCAAGCTGGGTGTGGTGGTGCTGGTGATCCCAGGTCTCCGGAGGCTTAGGACGGAGGATTGCCAAGAGTTGGAGGCCAGCCTAGGTTACACAGTGAACTCAAGGCTGGGCTGAACTACCCAGTGAGACGCTGTCTCAAAAAAACAAGAAACCAGTCTGGGACCCTATCACCCATGGTAAGATTATAGACAGATGAGTTAGAAATATAATAGGCAAGCAGACAGGGCTGAGCCCTCGAGAGAGTCAAGACAAAAGGTAAAAACACTGCAACCGTGGCCAGAGATATATCAGCTGGAGGCCAGGTCTCCATGCTCCCCCAAGGGATAAGATAAGTGATAACACCTGGTCTGGTGAAGTCTAGACAGGCGTCAGTTGCCTAGGTGAGTGACCAAGACCCCCAGATCCATCACCCCCTGAGAAGTTCTTTGTTCTCTCCATGTACCCTTGTTATGTGACTTCCTTCCCTGTTGGATCACTGTTACCTAAGCAACTGTACTGGTAACCTTATTGGTTGACCATATCTTTAACCCACATTGTACCCACGTGGGTTTTGCTCTATAAAAACTTCTTTGTAAATTGTGGTCCCTGGTTACCCATCTGGGTCCCTTTCTACCTCTCAGGAGACAGCAGCTATTCCCTCAATAAATATTTTTCTGCTCTTAACCTCTGTTCCTAGAATTCATTCTTCCATTTTAGAGAATACGAATTCGCTGTATGCTTTCTGCTGCGGTGACAGACATATGGCTTGGGAAGTTTACAGTAAACACACGGCACTGACATCCAGTGGACCCCTCCAGCTGAGTCATCATGGTGGAATGCGGAAGGCCAAGAGAAGGTGAGAATGAGCTGACTAAGGGTGACCAGGGTGAAGGAGATTTAGCTCAGTGGTGCCTCACCTGCCTTGCAAGTGCAAGGTCCTGAGTTCCATCCCCCATACCACACACAAAGAAAGCAGACTGAGCTTGGTTTTATAACAGCTCATTGCCAAGCATGGTGACCTCTACTGTCATTCCAACTACTCAAGAGGCTGAGGCAGGAGGATTGTATGAGTCCAGCCTGGGCAACACTGCAAGACCCTGTCTCAAAAAATAACCACCAGCAGGGCTGGGGACTTAGCTCAGTGGGGCCCCTGCCTGCCTCCAAAGTGCAACGTCCCAAGTTCGATCCCCGGTACCAAAAAAAACAAAAACACACAACCACCAGCACCTACTCAAAATACCTAGCCCTTTCCTATGGTGACATTAATCTACTCGTGAGGGCAGAGCTGTTATCAGGCCCCTGTTTCCAACATGAACTTTGGGGGATTCGAACAAACAAACCATAATACACATTCTCTAAACTTTTTGGCTCTTATAAGAATATGGTTTACATAGAATCCACGCATCATATGTGAACATGTTCGTGTAACTCCACTGCATATTATCAAAATTTTCTTGGCCATTTTTATGTAGTTTCTCAATTCAATGAAACTTAAGTATATTTTGTCAGCTTCTACCAAAAATCTATTTAAAGGGGCTGGGGATTTAGCTCAATGGTGCCACCACCTGCCCCAAAAGCACAAGGTCTTGAGTTCAATCCCTGGTACCAAAAAAAATCTATTTAAGAGCTGGGGATTTAGTTCAGTGGCACCACGCCTGCCTTGCAAGCCCAAGGTCCTGAGTTCGATCCCCTGTACCAGAAAAAAAAATTATTTAGAGCTGGATGTGTAGCACACATCTGTAATTCCAGCTACTCTGGAGACTGAGGCAGGAGGATCCAAGTTCGAGGCCGGCTTGGGCAACTTGGTGAGACAGGTGATCAAACACAGATGAGAGCAATGACATAGGAAGACATCACATTGCCTGCCAGGAGGAAAATAGCCACACAAGCGAGGCTCTGTCAACCCACATGAAATGGAAATGACCATGCAGTGACAGAAACACAGAAGAGCAGGCCAGGGAAGGAGAAACCACAGGACAAATGTGCCATTTACAGTTTTGCAACTACATTCTTGGGTCAGAAAAGAGACAACTGGAGGCCCCTGCGCTGGGTCTGTTACTCTGACTGTCGGAACAGATGGTCAAAAACAATAGAAGCAAAATAGTTTAGAACCAAAAGGAAAGGCTGGAGTATAGCTCACTGGTAGAGCAATTGCCTGGCACATGTGAGGATCAGGGTTCCATCCCCAGCACCACACCAAAAATAATGATAAAAATAATAAAGGGAAGGAACTGTAGGGAAACTAGCCCGTGCCCAACACTGGTGTGTACTATGAAGTACAATTTTTATTTGTTCCCTCTTTTAGCGGTCTTTCTTCCCAAGTAGAACAGGGACAAGGAGCCCGTTTTGCTAACTGTTTGGTCCCTAGCACCTTGTCCAGGACTGCCCATCCTCTAGGACCTAAGGCACGGCGTGCATGAAGAGCGGCTGTTGCATTTTGCTAGGCCAAGAACCACTGAGATGAGATCAAGGTTGTAGAAAGGGACAGACAGCCCAGGCTGAGTCCCACTTAGGAGCTGGACCTGTTTCCTCCTTTGGAGAAGGACAGTGACCTCACCCCCAGGGACGATCACTGTGAGAGTAAGCACAAGGTCACCCGTGAGCTTGGGAGCACAGGCTGGCCCGCCAGGGGGCTGGTCGTGGGGTCTTGTGCGGGTCTCCAAGCTGTCACTGGAGTGCTCGTCCTGGGAACAATGCATGTGAGAAGCCACCCAGACCCAAAGTTCTAAGTTGGTGGCAAGGCCACCCCTTGTTTCTTTTGCATTTTATGGGTAGGAAGGGGCAGCTAACTTAGTTAAGGCTCCTGACTTACTCCATGCTCTGTTTATCAGCTCTCTTCCTTGTACTCTTTTTTTGGGGTGGGGGGTTCTTTTTGGTTTTTTGGTTCTGGGGATCAAACTCAGGACCTTGCCCTTCTGAAACAGGCAGGCGGTGTGGTGCCACTGAGCCAAATCCCCAGCCTCCTTGTCCTCTTAATTGCTCCCTCCACCAAAGTTTTAACTCTTTCTAGTCGGGACTAGCCAGCAAACCTAATGAGGCCCATACTCTGTTCTATTCTTTCCCTGTTTACAGACCCCCTTCCCCTAAGACAATGCAGAGAAAAGAACAAAGTAGCCTGGAGCACTAACTCCAGCTCCTAGGAGGAAATCCTCTTTCTGCAAACATAAGCCTTATTCTTGGCTATTTAGTTGAGACTGTGCTATTATTGCTGCATTCTTTTCTGTTGTTAGAGTGGGGGCATAGTTGTTGCTTTAGTAGGTATTTACTGAATGTCAATATTTGGTTTGTATTTGTGTCTACATTATTATTGCAGATCTCTTATTGTTAAGGATGGTATAGTTGTAACTATTATTCGTTCTAATGGTATGTCAATAACTAACTGATTTCTACTGTTAATGGTGGCATAGTTATTGCTTTTAATTGGTTTTTACTGTATGCCAATATCTGGTTTGGCTTTGTACGATCAACATCACTGCAGTTTGTTTTCTCCTCTGAGTGGTGGATCAAGTCCCCAAAAGGTTGGATACTAAAGAGATCCGCACATATTATGCTGAATAGGTTAAAGAGGGAATGTATATCAAAACACAACCAAAGCCAAGGACACATCACAGGGAGACAGGGCCTAGCTCCAGGGATCTCCACAGTAGTGCAGAGTTTCTCTCCCCTAAGTGATCTTCAGCCTACCAGCCAAAAACAATAGAGACAGGAGGAAACAAGGCAACAAGACATCTCCTAATGGGCTGGGGGTGTGGCTCAGTGGTAAAGCGCAGGCCTAGCATGTGCAAG